CTACCTAATCAAACTCTCAACTGCCCAGTAATGTTTCCCTGTATTTTCAAACCACAGTTTAAACTTAAACCACTTAGTCTCCTTAGATGGGAACTTCATATCAGACAAAAATTACTCCTTATTGTGCTAGATGAATCCAGCTTGAAATAAAATAGCAGCACTGCATGAATATCAGCGACAAATTACTTGTTTCTGTAATTCTGCTCTTTCTTATTTTATCTGGAGAACAATTTCGTAGATATACTGTGTTACAGTGTAGACCTCCTCCCACCAACCCACTGCTTGCAAAAGGAATTTAAAAAAAAATATCTTCCATGTGTCATAAAATTTGAACAGAATATAGTTGAACCTTTCAAAATTATTACAAGTAAGAAAATGGAAATAAACAAATAAGCTAGTGCCTCAAATTTACGAGAGCAACAAAAAGATTAAAAAAATTTAGAAATGCAATAGAGGATTTTAAACTAATAAATCTATCAGTGGAATATGAAACCAACCCTCCTTTCCTGGTGACACATCACTGAGTTACTACTTGTGTACTTCTACTGGTATAATGGAGAGCAAAATTTTTCTGTATATAGTCAGGATGACAAATTTTGAGATATTTCCATGTCAATACCTTTAAAACCGAGGCCTTCTTAAAGGACGAGGCACTCAAAAAGATCTACATGACACTGGAAAATCCAGACAGGTTTCTCCTGTTTTTTTGCCACCAATGATCTCTGTGTTTCACAGAAGAAAAAAAAAATCTCACAAGTCAGGCAGTGTTCCTAATTCTCTGAAGAGCTTGCTGTTAATTTTACGGCTTTACAATAAGACAAGTAAAATTCTGTTTCCTAAGTAAAGAAATACAGAAGGTTGCATCATGGCTGTATAAAAAGGATTCTTTCTGTTCTATATAGATGTCTCATCAATTTCACTTGAATGCTGCTTATAACAGAGATTTTACTTTAAATAATAGTACTTAATGCCTATATGGATTTTTTTTGTTACCTAATAGCTTTGCTAGATTGGTCATGGATTTTTTACTGTGCTACGTATTCTTTCAGTACTTAGTTATATGCCTGCACTTTCCAACAGACATTCAAAATATTACTGCATTCTGGTCTATTCCACCGTGTTTTGACACTGAAGTGCATTCAGATACTCATAATATAAAATGCTTATAGACGCACCTAAACAAAAAAACAGACTATCGTGTGATATACTGGAATGAGTGGGACTTTCTTCTGATGGGGGAAAATCTGCTTGTTCATAATAATTTAATTTAAAGCTGGGGAAAAGGAGCAACGCACCTGGAATCAACTCACTGTAAATTCCAGAAATGCAAGGAGCTTCACAAAAAGTCTGCAGTTACCTTGTTTTTTAAGTAACCATGCAGAGCTGACAGCTATTAGCAGTAGTGAGGACTTGCATAACGAGGACTGGAAGGAAAGCTTAGTACTATCCATGCCGGAGTGATTTTAAGAGAATGAAGGCACGTATTTCTTTATGATGCATTATGTAACAACACAGAGGGCACTCTGAGGCATTAAAAAAAAATACAGAACCCACATTTGATCTTATACTTGTTATTTATCACACAAATATTTAATAGTGCTTATAGCGTAAGGCTTATGAAGCACCTAACATAGGAATGTTATCTGATACAAATTAGTTTGAAATGTTTCAGATGACATATTTTATGTTCTGTACATCTTTAGGAAAATATAATAGGTCCTATAATTCATTTGCTTCAAACTTCTGCAATACATGCAATCTCAGATAAAATAAAATTGTCAAAATCAGTGATAGCTGGACCTTCTGGTTCACATTAGTGCGAAGAGAAAACTGCTGTTGAGCTGACACATTGATAGATTATGAGTTCTGCCGAAGAATAGCTAAAAATGGTGATTCAATCTTGTTGCTACTATATAAGAAGAATAACAGAAGTGGAGATGGTACTCATGATATCATGTCTTTTATCAAAACCCTAAAGGGTTCTGGTGCATCGAACACATTCTCTTCCTGAGAGCTTCTGGCTCTAAAAAATAACTGTGTAAGAAACTGAAACTAAATGGGCCTATTAAAAAAACCAGTTCATTGGTGTCCTAAATTTATTTAAACATTAATATAAAGAGCAGATTGTTAAAAGACTATCTTTGGGAGGGAGGTGGGGGGGGTGTCCTCTCTCTCTCTTTTTTTTTTTTTCCTACAGTAGAGATGCTGGTCTTGTAATGACAAAATGGAGAGCTAGGAGGATTATGAAACACAAGTAACACGAAGGGCAAATCTGACTGAAAAAGAGGGAGAATACTATTCTAATTATTTAAAACTTAGCTGGGTTAGTGCCTTCACTAACTTAAATCAATAAGGTTCCCCTGAAATCAATGAGGTGACACAGATGCATCCAAGACATATCTAGCATTTAAGATAATGCGGATCATCATCTCCTGTTAGGACAGTAAACATAAGCACATGTGTATAATCACTTTTCTAAACATCTCCCTAATCTTTAGATATGCAAAACAGAACTTTTAAAAGAGGCACCTTAAGTACTTCTGCTATTCTACCCCTGGTCCTCCGTTAGTTAATCTGAAACTTGCATGGTCATTTACGTTGAAGCAAAGTTAAGTTTAAACACTGACTTCTGTCCCTCAGTGCTTCATACTTCCCTGTGCTGCTGCATATCACCATGGAAGGCTCAAGATGGAGGGAATAGGGCCTTGGTGGCTTGTGCCTTCCTCCCCCAAACATCACCAAACGCTCCCGGCGCTTACTTCCAATACATCCATGGAGTTCTGCAACAACAGAAGGGAAAACAAGGCTTCACAGTCCTCATCCTTCACTGAGAGGAATAACAGGTAAGGAGAAGGAGGAAACAGAAACACGGGGGAGAACGGGAGGAACGATTTCTTATTAGAGGCTCACCTTTCCTCAAGGAAAAGAAGCCTTGACATAAACTTCACGACATCACAAAGATGCAGGCAGGTAAGCACCTCAGATTTCTGATAACTCAGTGGGTTTGTTTCAGGGAAAGATTAAACATTCTTTTAATTTTTATTTTTACTTTTACCAAGGTCTCTCCAGTAAGTATTTGCAGCTTCTCCTGCAGTAATTAATGTTTCATGTTGTACAAGAATTTCTTATCTTATTAAAAAAAAAGCTCTCCAACAAAACTGTGACTTAAGCTGTGTTCTTAATTTGAGGAGGAATGGGGAAGAAAAGTAGCAAAGCATAAAGTTCATCACCCTGCTCTAAAATGTAGGGAGAACCAGAAACCGATATTAAATAAAAAAAATGTCTCAAGCCTGTTCTGTGTTTTGCCTACAATTTTTGCACATGCATTTGCCTTTTGAATATGCAGGCCTGACATCTTTAGGATATTCAGGCAACGTATTAACACATTGTGGATACGGGAAAGAAACAAGTCAGAAATATTTGGAGGGTGTGAAGCAATAAACAGTAACCAAGCAGAAATGTTTTACGCAACACTATTACGGCTTGACAGCAAAGTAGATTTATGCATTCTCCTTTCAAGCTTGTAAGCTTGGTAACAAGTGAAATGGGTTAAATTTTCTGAGTTTGGAATGCAATTGATTTATGCTTGTTCCACGATGCTACGCAGCTCTTAAATGTACGAGCTCTTGCGGCTGAAAGTCTGCTTTTAGGACAGGCCCTGCAGTGACAGGCTGCGGCATGGCAGGGAGAGACCCAGGTAATTCTGGCGGGGCAGCGGCTGGCGATGCAGGACCCAGCAGGTATCCAGCCATCCAGCCAGCCCGCCTTACGTAAGGACTTCATTTTCGTTAGGCTACATCTCGCCGCGCGAGGCACAGGAGAAGAGGCTATTCCATCTCCCGGTGCAGCCCAGTCCCCTGTGCCAGGCCCAACATTCGTATCCTCGCATTTTTTAATTTATTTTTTTTTTCTCCTTTCCGAACAGCACATCTACACAGTGGCGTTTACCTATTCGCTCGCGCCGCGGCTGCCATGCAACCTATGTGGGCGCCCGGTTGGCACAGCCCACGTTCACCGGAGCGATGCCGAAGAGGAAACCCCCGGTCCCTCTCCGGGCGATAGAGGCGCGCTCCGGCCGGCTCCGGGCGGGCAGCTCTCCCTCCTCAGCGGCGGCGGCGGCGGGAATGCTCCGCTCTGCGGCCAGCGGCGGGCAGCGTCCATTGCAGCTCGGCGGGTCCGAGTCCGGAGTCCGAGGGCTCCGGCAGCCAGCGGGGGCACCCGGCCCCCACTCCCCTAAACACCGCTGGCCAGGTGCGTTTATTTCTCATCCCGTCCGCTTCCCACAAATCCACCGTCTGCGGCCGCCGAGCCCCGGCAGCAGCCCGGCCAGCCCACGAGGCACCACCGATCGCGCTCCCCTCTCTCTCTCTCTCTTTTCCAGCTCTCCCCGAGAAGGAAGGAGCACGGCGGGGCCGCTCGTCCCGTATTTCACCGCCCCGGAGACGCCGCCACCGGAGCGATTAAAACAAAGCGGAGAACCGCCACTTTCCACACTCTTCGCGCACCGAGTAACGCGGCTTGCTACGGGAGCTCGCCTAGCAGGGACGAAAAACAAGGGGGGGGTAAAGGAGGAGAGCCCACCCTCCACCCCAGCAGCCCCCCGGCTGATGCCCGCGCCCGGCGCACCCCAGCGCTGCCCGGCGCACCTGACAGCCCGCCGAGCCGCGCTGTATTTCCCTCCCTTAGCGACAGGGGAGGGGCGCGCCGGCCGCGGCGCCGCCATTGGCGGAGGGGAGCGGCGCGGCGCCGCCATTGGCTGCGGCGGCGGCCAATGGTGAGCGCTGTATCCGGGAAGCAGGAGGCTGCGGAGCTATTTAAATCCTGCCCGGTGATGTCAGCGTGGCCTCGCGGGGGGGGCTCGGGCGGCGGGGCGGGCGCGCCTGTCAGCCCGCGTTAGGCACAGCGCAGGGCCGTGAGCGGGAGTGGCCCGGCACCTGCCGAGCCGTCCCTGCCTTACGGGACCCCGCAGCGCCCTCCTCCCCTTCCCCGCGAACTTGTCCCGGTTGGCGGTCCTGGAAGATGCGGGTTAATTTCGGGGTGTTGGCGAGGGGCGCGCTGGGAGCGCCCGCCGGTTGTGCGAGCGGAGCGCTGAGCCTGCTCTCGCAGAGAAGGCGAAAGGGCAGCTCTCTGCGTTAAAAACACTTCTGCGGCTGTTCAGGGGGAGAGATACCTTCACTGTTCTTTATTTGCACCCAGTGCCTTCCCATAGGCTCGGTGACGTTGCCCCTCAATTCAGGGAGGGCACTGAGTTGCTGGAACGAGTCCAGAGAAGGGCAATGGAGCTGGTGAAGAGTCTGGAACGCCGGTCTTATGAGGAGTAGCTAAGGGAGCTGGGGATGTTCAGCCTGGAGAAGAGAAGGCTCAGGGGTGACCTTATCAGTCTCTACAACACCCTGAAAGGAGGTTGTAGCCAGGTGGAGGTCGGTCTCTTCTCCCAGGCAACTAGTGACAGGACAAGAGGACAGTCTTAAGCTGCAGCAGGGGAGGTTCAGGTTGGACAACAGGAGGAACTTCTTCACATAAAGGGTGATTAGACATTGGAATGGACTACCCAGGGAGGTGGTGAAGTCACCGTCCCTGGTGGAAAGGCTGAACGTGGCATGGTCTAGTTGCCAGGGTGGTGTTAGGTCATAGGTTGGACTCAAGGACCTCAGAGGTCTTTTCCAACCTAATTGCTTCTGTGAATTTCATACTTTGAAGGCACACGACTTGCCTCTTGGTGTCCCAGGGTTGCCTGAGGTTGCCTCAGGGTTTGATCCTGAAGGACTGCCACAGGTGGGAAATCCCAAAGTGGTTTAAAGGTGCATGTTTGGGCCATGAAGCAGACTAACAGTAGCTTTGTCCACCTGGCTGATTTTCCTCTTCCATTTCTGATTCTAGTTATGGCAGGTCCTGTTCTGTGGGTCTCAGGGAAGGCTTTTAGATACTAAAACCTGATAGATGCTACTCATCACAAATGTTCTGTTTTCTATTGTCTTCCCAGCACAGCAATCACAGATGGAGCTGAAATGGTGCTAGGTTACAACAGAAGAAGAAGCAGCCAAGATCAAAATGCTCTGGTTTGTCTTGGCAGAAAATGTAAATTGTGCTGCGCTTCAATATGCTGTAGACCTGTCTGGAGCTCATCTGGTAGCCTAATAATGGCTGAAAAGTGGGATTAAACTTGAGTTGTTTGACCTGAGGCATGTAATCATCCTGCCTGCAGTCTAACACCCAGTACCCTGATGGTTGCACAGTTCTTTCCTTATCATGTGACCCAAACTGATCCATCACGTGACCAAAATGCAGGCATCTTCCTTTACACAAAGGTATGTCACTCCTGATGGGAAGACCCATAAACATCAGGTAAGAGACTGCAAGATTTTCTCAGTTCTCTGCAGATGGATGTGTGCCGTGACCATAGATTTTTTTTTGGCCTATATAACTACATGCATTTTGGTTGTCTTAAGATGTGTGTTCAGCTCTGTGGCTGCAGAAGCGCATATGGTATGGTGACATGCGGAAGTGATTCCCTAAAAGCAATTCTGTGATGTGGTAAGCTGAATACACAGGAGGTCACTGAGCTGAACATTGTTGGTGCCAGAGAAGATTTATGATGAGGAAATTGGGACAGGAAGCCAGGAGCAAAAAGGCTTCTGACATCTAGAGGACTGAAGATCTCAACAGCTTCCCAAACAGGAAAGTGGGAGCACACAGCCTATGTTGTTTCATGATGAAGCTTCATAAATTCAGAGTCCTGGTTGGTATGAGAAGCCAGGTTTGACCCAGGACTTGACAATTAAAGCTGGAGGAGGGAGGGAGGTGGTACCCCCAAAGAAGGATGAAAAGCCCTTACTGTTAGATGTGAAGAAGCTGTCATTGAAACCATGTTTCTTTGCTGTGGCAGGATATGGCAACAGAGGTAGGGGAAAGCAGGGGAAGGTTCATCATGTAGGTGGCTCCTGTGAGGGTAAGGGATGGCATGTTATAACTTGGGGTCCTCAAGATGAATGTGATTTTCTTTTAAGGATGTTCTTCCACTGAGAGTCAGATGGAAGAATGCGAGAACCCCTCTCAGGAACTGACTTCATGTGCCTTTTCAGTCCCCTTTGCATTTCCTTGTTTTCCCTGTTTGGGAAGCTGCTTGGAATAAAGATTAACTCACTACACTCAGTGTGTTGTTTATGTATTGTATTTGTCTGTCAGTACCATAATCCAGATTTTCTGTGAGTTACCAGCAAGGCTCAGGAATAATATTTTTTGTTGCTTTAATTGAACTTTTTCCCCATGGTCCCTGGCTCCATTACTTCCAGGGTGTGATGCTGTAAAATGCTGATGCTAAAAAAATAACACAGGAGCAGTTAATTGAGGGTGAGATAAGGAAAGGGTTTAATTGTGCCAAGCAATAGATGTTACAAGGCACACGCTGGCTGTGCCTGAGATGTTACATTTTATAATACTATCTGTCCAATCCCAAGTGTGTCCACCTCATAGCCTTTGCTCTGGTCCACCTCGGGTCCACCCCCTGAGAATTGGGTCTGGGGGCCTTTGGGACCACCTACTTCATCATTCTCATCATCCTCAGAGCACAAAGGGTACATAGTCACCTAATTCTTGACTCTGTTCTGTTGTTCAGGCCTAGATATGAGTGTTCTCTAAACAGTATAGGCCTTGCCTTGACAAGAGACTAAACATTTCTACTGGATTCGGGGGTAGGATTGGTATAGGGTGCATGGAATGGGGTAAGAGGGTTAAGGAATGTGCAAACTACTTGTACTACAAGGTAAAGGAATGAGGGCTGCTGCTTTTAAAATCTACTTCCACTACTTATAAAACTTATAAAGCTTACAAAATTTAGAAAAATAAAAAACTAATAGGGTCTTAAGGCATCAGTGACTTGGGGAAGTTTTGCCTTCTCTAAAATATCAGATCAGCATTAGTGAGAGATGAAAAGCTGGGCAGAGGTGTTCATGATGGTTCTGCTCCTAACTCATGTATCTTGCTCAAATGTTTGGAACTAATGATTGTATTTGACTTCAGAAGAATTTTTTCCCTAATGTGGGCTGTTGCATTTGGAGGGGAAAAAAGGGAAGGGGGAGTCATTCACCCCACTTGACAAGATGGAACATGGTTCACTTTGTAAAATGAATTTGAGTGTTTTGGGGGCAGGAACTGCTGGGCTGGATGAAGCCCTTGCCTTGGAGCAGTATAAACTTTGTTTGTTGGAAGGGGAGGGGGTGTTCATGTATTTAAGTGGAAGATGAATGGATCTTTTTGGACTTCACAGTTATGGCATAAACTTACTGGAACAGAAAGGAATGTGAAGAGTTCATATGGTCCATCCCACAATTTCACTACCATAAAGCAGGATCTAATCTCCCCATCTCTTTCCTGGTAAATATCCAAATTATACAAATAAGGGATGAAATTTTATAACCTCCCCAGGCATCCCTTTGAGTGCTCTGCTTTCCTTAGGTTAGGACAGTCTTCTACTGCCTCCAATTAGAAACTCTTTATGTGCAGTTTAACTCAATTACTTCTTGCCCTACCCATTTAGAGAACAGGTTGTTCCCTTCCTTTTCACCACAGAATTTATGCTTTTGAAGACTATCAACATGTGTACCTCCAGTCTTCTCTTTTTTATTTATTTTTTTTTTTATTTAAGGTTAACCAAACTTGTAATCTGTTCAATTTTTGATCATCAGTAGTTTTTTCTAATTCTCTTCATATGACCCTGGGAGACAGCAATTCCTGACCCCTAATCACTTTGTCCTACACGTCTGTTTAAGAAAGGTCTGGAGAAACAAGACTAGTAGTTATGCCAACATTTCCTCAAAGTCTTACTTTTTTTTTCTTGTAAACAACTGTGCTGAATGAACAAAATTAATGGCAGGTGAAATTTGCAGCCCTGGGAAAGGAGCATACACTGCAGAGGAAGATGGATGGATGGTGCTGAAGTGGTGACGTCAGCTCTAAAGAGAAAGATAGGGTCAGCTGGGTGCAGCTCCATTGAAACAGGAAAAAAAAGAACAAACCCCAAATATTAGGATGTTTAAGGAAAGAGGATGTTGGATGATGAGCAATAAAATATTACTGTTAATGATACTCACTGGAAATCATGGTGTGTTGCAGCAGCTCAGCTTCAGAGTTTTACAGGGTCTACAAAGATTGCAGTTAAAGGTGGATAAACTGAGGCGCAGAAAAACTAGGAGGCATGTAAATAACTGAAGCTCAGACAAGGCAGAACTCCTCTGGAAATCTCCTCCTAGTCTCAATTCTGCTTCATCCTGGCCAATCTTTAAAAATCATTCCTGCTTCATACTAGTGATATGTAATACTGTCATTTTGCAGAAGGGTCTATAACACTGTGTAGAATTCAGCTGAATTCAGGCTACAAGAGGGGGTTACTGTAGTCCTCTGATTTAAAATATCACTGATAAAAAATATTCTTTTAAATGTTCTGGTCAGGACTAGTGAAGCTTTTCAATTTTTAAATGTGTTTTATGTGGAAAATCCCTCTGTTAAATAATTAGCAAATGCTTTGAGCATTACTGCATATTTTATATTTCATCTTCCTGGAAGAAATGGACGGTTCTGTTGCTACAGATTAACTGCAATTTATTTTGTAATACTCTGACTGCTGGAAGAGAGAGACTTATTAGTTTACTTCTTTTACTTCTGATTATTCAAGGAATGGCGTTGGACAGAAGGGTTCAACCATAACTTTTCTTCTATTCCCAGTCCCAACAGACATTTGAGTTAAAAAAGAAAGAAATCTGTACAAGCTGAAAATGTGAAAACCAGAGACTGAGGGGTTCAACAGTATGAAGGATTGCAGGGCTGGATCTTATTTTCTTGGCAGGCACTGGCTACTATGGTTTATTTTACCTTTGTCATAGCCTTATTCCACATTTCAGTGTCTTTTTTTCTTAGGCAGAAAAAAAAATAAATCATTGCTGCAGCTGCTGTTGTGTGAATTAGTCTTAGATACCAATGGACACTAACTGTGTTTAAAATTAAGAATTTGGCACAAGAAGCTGTTCAGATTTAACCTTTTCTTCACAGAAATTGAGTTAGAAATGATTTTTTTCATGGAATGAAGGATAAGATCACCTTTTAATTCGTTTTGATGATCAGATCTGTGTTTTTTATGCTCTTTGAACAGTAGGTTGTGTCAGAAGTGTGGCCTTGGCTCTACTGTGAGTATTTTTGTACATCTCAGGGTTTTTAGGCTATACCAGTAGGCCTCAGAAAGCAACGCAGCATGGTAGCTGTCACATCTGTTTTCCTAGAAAGTTGTTTTGTCCTGTTTTCAAGACAAACTTTGAATTCTGAGATGGTTTTGTATCCTTAGCACTTCAATTGGCAGCACAATTCGTGAAGGAAAAAAAACGCTTCAGTATTCATGTGTTGGACCTAATAGCCCTCCTGGCAGTCAGTGGGAGGCTTTAGTATGCCAAAAGATGCAGTCTTAGGCTGCAGCAGTCTTTCAGCCTGAAGAAATTTCCCTACATTACAGAATACAGGCAAATGTTGATTAACCAAATGTGCCTACAACACATAAAAGTTTTCAAAGAGCATAAGCTAACTTCTGAGTTTTCTCCTCTGGTGTAGCACCAGTAGTTCAGATGTCTAAGCAGTCATCTTAATTTCGCAGCCCTGCTTAGGTGGCCAACCCAGTTTGTTTTCTAAGCTATTTTATACAGAAAGACATTACCTGCACATACTGTCTCTGAATGCACTGGGGCTCAGGTGTGTAAATTTTGCCCACATCAGTTTCTTCCACAGTGTTGCCTGGTTAGCACTTGCAACAAGCATCCTGTGCAGCCTTTAGAAAAGTCTCTTCCAGCTTGCTGGAGACAAACATGGAGGATGCTGATGACCATCAGGGAGTATAAAGAGGATGGTTGCAGTGGTACTTGGTGGTCTGTTAAGGGCCAGATCCCTAGTCAGGCCAACAAGGATTGCAGGGAAAAAATGAAAGACTTGAATAAAACTAATTCTCCATTCTGGCAATCCAACTGGGGAAATACGTGTTTCCTTGCAGCCCTGCTGTGGCTTGCAAAAACTCTTCCATCTCCAAAACAGTGCTGAGACTGATGCCAATGAAAATAACACGCAGAAACATTTTTTAACATTTGTGCCACTCATTTGCAATTCAAATATGGGGAACTCGTGTGTGCTGAAATGAAGGGTGCAGAATAGAACAGACCAATCTGTTTATGAAGACTGGAGGGTTTATTTACCATCACTGAGATTTAGAGGGGTTTTTTTTCATGTTATTTATTGGTATTTCTAAAATGCTGTTGAACTGTAGCTTTCCTGTTGTGACGAAGCTGAATGACTAGCATCTTGATACTTTGTTAGTAGCTTGGGAGCACATATCAAAAAGCAGAGGACACCAAAGAAGGCTGTAAGAATGTGTTCAAAATAGCATAAGGAGGAATTTTATGCAGTATTTCCTATGTACAATGTTCCTAAGGCAGTGTGAAATTTTACTTTATTCTTTCATGAAACACCTTTACATATAAGACAAAGTCTATTTTTTAAATATTGGCTTGTTTGGGCAACTACTCTTAGGTTTGGGATGAAGTATAGTGTGATGTGATATCATGTCACTATGTAGTATTAATCTCTGCGTAATTGTCCATAAAGGGCAGGGAACTTAAGAGGAATGTCCTTTTACAAAAATCCTCTATAATGGAGGGGGAAGCTTGTCCACTGAATTGCCCAGTTTGTGGATTATTTTTGTTTTTAAAAGTTATCTGTCACTTTTCAGTGTTGCCTTTTTCTCCTCACAATCCAGAAAAAAAGACTATTCAATAGCTAGCATAAAATTTAAGTCCAGAGGTGACTCTTACAGTAATACCAGCATGACATTTGATAAAAATTCTTGCCTAAAATACCTGTGATAAAGCTTAGATCCTATAAGTATGCATATGTATGTATTGGTCCTAGAGAATGATCTAGGTGGGGGTTAAGCACCGTGCTCCAAAAAAGCAAATCCATGTAAACCACTCTTCATCATCTGAGCATATGCAGACACCTACCATTTTTGTGACACTGTTTTAATCCTATGTGGAATGGCTTCATGAGGACAGCTGCATCTTTAGCATACATGAAAGCTTACTGAGCTCAGTACAAGGCTATTTCCAGCTAAGAATGCAAAACAGCAGAGACCGTTGTTGTCCACCTCTTTCCTAATGGCCGGCTAATTACAGGATAGAGAAGGACTTACTGAGGAAATCAGACTTTCAGCACCCTCAGACAACAATTCTCACTTATTAGATGACAGATCTCACTGGATGAGAGTGGAATCATGACACATCCTCTTCCATGGTTTTCAGAGTTGATTTATACTCTCTGCCATGCTTGCATGGGACTGTTTTACTTTTTATAACCACTTAAAATGCTATGCTCCTCCGGTTTCTCTGGAATTTGTGGTTTGTAGTAAGGAAAGCGATAATTTTAACACAAGAAGTGAAATCATGCCTGACTCCCGAGTAGACAAAGAAAAATATCTCTAATGCTATTTCCTTAGGTCTTTAACTTCAAAGATAAAAAATGTACATCTTTGCTCTGGTACACATACTTTCTACCTCAACTTCTCTTGCATCCTTTGAATAATTATTCTGTTAGGAGTTGTAAGTCACACAGTGCTTTTCAATTCATAAAATTTAGCATACACGAGAAGTACATATCAAATTTAAGGACCAAAATGGAGTCATCAACCACTCACGAGGCAACACTGGCAAGAAGGAGCACTCACAGCTTCTTGTCCTGAGCAATACAGAACACCAAGCAGCTACTGGGTTAACTTGTCCTAACACAGAGCAGAAGCCCCTGGAGTGAATCCAGCATTGCTTATCTAAGAGCTGTGTCCCTGTGTTTGATTGGTGTCCTGTTTTGGTTTTGTTTTTCCAAGGGAATCATAAGTCATTTGCACAATCCCTAGTCCATAATGAATATACCTACTGGGATTTATAACAGATAAATTAAAAGAGATATGCTCATGAGACAGCAAAGCACGCAGTAGTAGAAAGGGTAAGGAGTACCCTTTTCATTCTGTTGGATAAGAATGGTCACTTAGAGCAGGATCTAATTTTAATTTCTAAGTTATCCAAATACCCACCTCAAAAAAGGAAAACAAAGAGAAAACAGGTCATTATGGGCAGACTGGTATCACAAGTGCTTTGGTATCTTGCTTTTGTATGTTGCATTCAGTACCTGGTAGGTTACATACAGCACCAAAGTAGACAGGATTTATAAAGATGTCATTAAAGAATGTCATTAAAGGCTGCAGGAGACAGTAAAAAAAAAAAACTGGTCCCATTTAATACCTTTCCTGAATCTTACATGATGTTTTTCAGTGTAAGCAAAACAAGGACTGTTAATCAAGTGGCAAGTCAGCTGCTGCTCAGAAAAAGGGGTGCAACGCTGTATGACATCCTTAAAAAATAAGAACCAAGAAGAAGTTGTGATCTGCTGCAGAGAGCTGAGGGTGCGTGTTGGTCTTCAGATTAATTTAGGTAAATTTAATTTATCAGTAAATCAACTATGATAGGATGTTGGAGAGAGATAAACAGGTTGTAAGTGTGGATGGGAAAAATATATGCACAGCAAAACAAGCTGGTTGGGTATGTGGAGAAGCGTGTTGCTGGAAAATCCTGTGAGACACTTCATACTAGCTGTAGTATCATGTATAAACTTGTGTCACACGCTGTTGATCAGGCAGAATTCAAATGCTGAAGGGACTGAGCTGTGGCAGTCTCTGGCTTTGTGTGATTGCCAAACAACCCAGTATGGAGCACTTGGTAGCATCTTACCATCTATCTTCTGCTTGTTATGACTACATAGTGCTGTTTCCTGGCAATTTTGAGTTTATTTGAAGGGCTCTGGAGAAGGGAACCTGACTGGCATACAGCACTGGAATGGACACAGCAACTGCTGGAAGATGCAAGAGGATTCATAGGGGAGGAGAAGAAAAGAAAGCAACAGAGAGAAGCAGAAGTGAACAAGCACGGAATGTAAAGATGGAACAGAGGTGTACCATTAGGGTATAGTTTAAGTTGTTACCTAGGGATGGAAGCTGAGGAGTGTATCAGTGTTCTTTGCTTAGCATGGCAGATCTGTTTATCTAATTCTTTTGTCTGTGATATTTCTGTGCAAGCTGTACTGCAATGTGGAGACAAGCAATAAAGGCAGTTCAGCTGCTAGGATCTGTAGATGCTGATGCCTGAGGTCTTTCATAATCTGGTATGTGGCCAGCAGGAGAGGATGAAGCATAGTAAAGGAGAGGAGAGGAGAGAAGAGCAGTAGTACGCTTGGTTTACAGCTGTCAAACAATAGTGTTTCTTGTTTGGGAATGAACTTGGGTTAAAGCTCTTCAGACCTATTTGCCTAGGGCAAGGCTCCAGGCTGGAATGCTGTTAGGAATTTACAGCTTAAAGCTCCTTGGCAGCAGTTGCCATTTTTCAGCTTTTGTGGCAGTGGAGCAGATTCCTGGGAATGGTAAGGGAAATCTCAGAAGGTATTTGTGAGACACCTGGGAGATGCATGTAGGGATGGGGAGGGAGTCTGGGAGAAGTCAGCAGGGTGTCATGGATCTGTAGCAGACCTGGCAAGGTGGGGGAGGCTGTACTCAGTTTCTTTCCCTCCTCTCAACCCGTTCCCATCTTTTCCTCCCCAGGAGTGGATCCTCATGTTCTTGGGAGTTTGCAACTTTTGTCCAAAGTCCACGACTGTCTCCTTCCCACTTTATAGCTGTCTTCCTCTATCAAGTCAATTCTACCTAGAAAAAACCCTTCTTGTGGCTTTGTTGTGGCCTCTAATTATTCTCTGCTGAAAAGAAAACAATGTTGGTGTGTCTTCTGTTACAGAACAAAGAGGGGGCAGAAGGTGGGTGAGGACTATTTAGGCCAGAACAGCAGGTTCTGTCTCCCAAGTCATAGGCAAAGTCCCTTACAGTCTTCAGCTGCCTCTAGTGAGCTGATGTCATTCAAGTAGTCACACTGATGTCAGAAGCTCGCAGTTCAATGTTCATTATCTTCCTATGTAGTTGTCAGAGATGAATCTTTTGTTGGGTAAAGCAAAATCAGCAAGTGTTACGAAGAAAACATGATTGGTAGAAGTAGCAGAACTAACCTAATACAAGAATACTTGCCCATGTTATACCCATCATCAAGCAACACTTTAGAATAGACCACCAACCAGTAAAGATCAGCCAAACTGAATGGTGCTCTCTACCTCATAAAACTCATCTACCTCAATCTGAAGGGCAGAAGCAGAGCCCTACCTTCAGAGACATCTGGGACCAAGCTTGTGTAGCTGGAACCAGCACAATTAATGTTACTCCTGATTACTGACAACCACTGGTCCTGTCAGCAAAGAAAGGGGAAGTAGAGATAGCCACTCTTCTGTAACTTTGTAGTGTCCTTTGCATTATTAATCACCCTTTAACAGAGGTGATGAATAGCCACACTCCTTCCCACATATCCAATTATTGCATAATAATTAATGTTTGCATTCAGCTCGTCCTGACCTAAACCACAAGATGCTGAAGTCTCTCGTGTCAGTTCAAGACTGCCTTGTAGGTTTCTAAACTGGGACCAATTAATGGTAGGTAATTCCTGCACACTCTCTCCAAGCTACTCTCCCAGTTTCTACTCTTCCCTTTTTAAGTCTGGTTCCTAGTGCAGTGCTGGTCAGGCAGGCGTGGCTATTGAATACATCAGAATCATAGCTCAGTGGAAAGAGACCTGATAGACACACTAGCCTCTTTTGTCTCAACACCTTTAAGTGTATATAGAGGCTACATTTATGCAGCTTTGCATCTAGTTTAGATGAGCAACATTTAGTTCCTAACTGAATGTACATGGATGGAATAAGACATTTTTCTCTTCATTCCAGATCTGTTTTCTATCCAAACTAAAATCTTGGCCAGTTGACCTATCCACCTCATTGATAATTTCCTCTGTCTCCTAGCATAAATAAGCCACGTCTGTATGTGTTTCTTGCAAGTTATCCTGACTTAGATGACTAATCAGCTCTTCATTCGTGTATTACCTTTGGTCTTCTCAGGGTCCTAATATCCATGCAGTGTGTAAAACTGGATGGTTCTTCCCCTCAGTTATCCCTAAAATAGTTCAGTCTTCTTGAAAAATTGAAACTTATCTGGACTTGTTTCATCCCATAGCTTTATTAATGAAAGATTGGTTTCAGGCGTTGGAGAAGCTCTTTGTTCTCTCTCCTGGTTTTCAAGGAAGCTGGTTCCTATCTTTGCTCAGATAATTCTTCCATAATACTTTGTCTATCTGAGTTTCAACTCATGCTTCAGAATTCTTTCTTCCTCACTAGTCTTGAAGGTCTGAATTGTCCTTTACTAACATGCAAGGCAGACCATTTTAAATGTTATCCTTCTTTCAGTCACTCTCCAAAATTATCTGTCAGGATAGGCTTGTCATGGCCGGAGTTTAGTTGCAGAGATTCTGGGATTTACACTCACTATAGTAGCCACACCTCTCTGCATCTACCTCTCTTTTTCCTAATAATTAAATTGCAAAATCTCTGTGATCAAGAACATTGTCATATTGCTTTGTATTTAGAGTAATTTCTATTATGATTGGCTTATCATTCATGACTGGAATTCCTAGGTGTTACAGAAATACAGATTTTTTTTATTTTATTCATGTATTCATTTAAAAATACCATGTGGTTTTAGGGATTACTTTAGGAGATTTTAGTGCAATATTCCTGAGAGGAAATGTAAAATGTCAGTGGTTCAGGATTCTATCCACAAAATTGTTTCTCCATTGCTCAAATTGCCATGGAATCCTTCTTCTTGTTTGTAAAACCAATATTCTACACTTTTAGTGTTTATGTGGACCCACACTACAAGATCATAGACTGGATCAACCTTCACTGCAAGAATGCTGTGATATTAGGACAGAGCAGTTTCAAAACCTCAGCAACTGTGTATTCTTTTAGATACTTAAAGTAATAGATTTTCTAAGCTGTATAATCTCACCAGATTCTTAAAGGACACCATCTGTCTGTACCACTACAAAAGTCCAAGTTGGCCCTCCCCCTCCCAAAAAATGCAAAATGTTTTTGAATCATAACTGTTGAATGTATTTTCACAATTTAAGAAATTTAACTATATATTTGAAGATGAAAGAGCATTAACAAAACCGAGAAAGCAGAGTATGGGAATTTTCATCCCTAGACCTGATAGGAATTTGAGCAATGTTTGTCCTTTATTCCCTCAGCTCAGGAACACCATTCTTCTTGCACTAGGGACAAAAACATCTCTGGATGTACCATGGGAATAACAAGGCAGGATACAGAAATTAAATATTTATTTCTGACCAAGTCCCACTCCATTTAGTCCTTTCCCAAATTAAGAACATTACTAGCAGTAGATCTGATGAGCTTTCTCATGAACCTTCTTTCTACTGAACTATGACTTTCTAGTATCCTGCAAGCCCAAAGGACACAGCCCAACTGTAGGCAGCCAAGCTGCATCAGGGCCTTATACTGACAACCCTAAAAGATGAGAAGAGCTCAGTGTGTAGAGGAATCTGAGGCTCCATTAAAACCTTATTGCGTGTTACTGCACATTTAAGATGATCTACAACACTCCATCTGGCTGAGGTATGCTACAGCCCACACATATATGGGCTTGTTTTGCCAATGAAAACCCCTTATATTCTTGTGTACTCCCATTATTGTCCATCAAAGAAGTTTTGTTAGTATACTCAAAAGTGTTCCCTCTCTGCAAGCATCACTCACACTTCTATTTATATAATTTAGAAGTATAAATGTTTGCATATGTGATTTAAAGGAGAGTATATATATATATACACCTATAAGAAGAAGAAATGAGAGATGAACCAATATTTACAGATAGTCCTAATGCAGAACCCCTTTGTAGGCAGGTGGGAAGAGTAGTGTTTCTTTTCATAACTGAAATCACAGAAACATTTACGAAGTAGAACAAGACTTTTGTTTGAATGCCTATTCTCTGTATCCACACAACCCCTGAAAGCTCTGCTAAGGTGAATTTCAGTTCTCATTCTGGATTTCAGGAAGATGCTGAGAAAAAAAAGTCCCACTCAAAATGTCTCATCTGATCTTGCTGGAACTGGTAGTTGAATGGGCAGAGTTCCCACTTGTCTCAGCTCTTCAATAAATGTATTTCTTTTGTACCCATGATGGCACAAGGAGCCATTCTCTATATGTAATGTTGCTGGTGAGAGAGGCTTCCTACACTCTCAGAGATTGTAACTCCATCTCCTTTCTCAACGGTATCATTAAATCTTACACTGGCGTGGGTTTTTGTGGAAATCCCTCATGCACATAAATGAGTAAAGTGATAATGATAGCAAACTGCCTCAGGCTCAAGTATCAGGATGCAGTTTCACAATTAGCCTAGGCTGGTCTCAGTCCATTTTGCTGTATCCTTCCCCTATGCCCCACACCTGCCAACAGCAGAAGTGGTCCTACAGTTACACACAGACAGATCAGCCACCCTATTGGGAAAAAACAGCTGATTTGGAGAGGGGATAGTGTTTGTTTTCTGCTTAGGCAGGTCCCTTCCTTGACTATATAGCCCCATGAAAGCCAGTACCAATACACAGCAAGGGGGCAGGGGCAGGACATAAGGTTGTCCGTATCTTTAGCAGAAACGCAGATAACTTGTTAAAATCTCTCACTAAAAAAACCTCTTAGAACAGATTGATAAAATTGAATTGTGGAAATTGCCAGGACTCGACAGTATCTATTCTTGAATTCCAGCATAGCTGAAATATGAAATTGCTGTGTTGCTTTTTGTGGTGTGCCACTTGAATTGGCTTGGGTAACAGAAGAATTGAAGATGGAGGCTTTGGGATATTTTTGGTAAACATAAGCCAGTATGGCTGATTTCTGTACCAAGAAAATAAACTAAAACTGTAACCTAAACTGGAACTAGCATTGCAGTAAGTGGCTAGAATAAGAAGAGTCAATATAGCTTTATGAGACAGAAGTTATACCTCAAAAATCTATTAGAGTCCTTTATGATGAGTGTATGAAAGCAAACAAGGAGCTGAGAGGGGTCCAGTTTGGTTTTCAAAACACTTTTGACCAGGCCCCTCAGTAAAGGCTCATAAAAAATTAAGTTTCTGATGAAGGAAGAGACAAAATCTGTGGTTTAGTAACTGTTTAAAAGCTGTGCAGCACAGCAGTGGATAAAAATACAACTGTTTTCATAACAAAAATTTGTTACAATTTCACTATTATTGGTCTTTTATTACTAAGTGATGCTGAAAAGGTGAAGAATACGATACAGTGATGAGGCTTACCGATGACACTAAGTTCTTTGGGATACTAAAATCAAAAGCCAGCTGTAAAGTATTGCAGAAGGACTCTACAAATTGCTGAATGAGAAAAAAGCTAGTAAAATTAGGTTAACTTAAACAAATCCTAACTTTTCCATACAGGCTAATGTTTTCTGAACATCACTACCATTCAAGAAAGAGGCCATGGAATCACTTTGACCAGTTTGATTAAAATAGTCACAGTTCAAAGGTAAACCACAAGGAAGGAAACTGAGATTACACAGGAAAACACTGGTATAGCACTCTACTTTTCTCTATCTTGTATTTTTCTAGGTTACAAGGAGGAGCAAGAGGAATGATCAAAGTTGTCAAACCTTTCCATCTGAGGAGATAGTAAATGAAAAGTAAACAGACCAAGATGTTTCTATTTGGAGAAAGGGTATGTGAGAGGATACTATGGAAGAAATCTATAAAATGGTGAGTGGTGTTAGGGCAGATAGGGAACAGTCACGTACAGCTTCTCACAATAAGAGAACTGAATGGAAGTCTGTAAAATTTTTGTTTGGCAGATTCAAAACACAAGGAAGTAATTTTTCTCATAATGGAGAACTGAATGTAGAATACATATAGTGTTATGGTAATAAAAATGGGAATGGGTTAAAAAAGGAATCAGAGTAATTTTAGAGACAAGCCTATTGAAGACTATTATGCAGTGGTCTAGAAAGAAATCTCCAGCTTGGAATTATTGGGAGTTACAGGATATGACCTGGAAAGGATCAATCTGTATGTCTAATGAGCTTTTCATAAGCACCTACAATTGGCCACTGTGGGGAAAAGGGAACTGAGCTATGAAGACCTTTGGTCTGGCCAAGTACAGACTTTTTAAATTCTACTTTCCCAACAGAGTAAATGACTTCATTGAGGGTTCTAATATCAACCACATAATTTGAGGTTAGCACAGGTAAAGGATATTTTAGATGTTACATCTAACTCGATATTGTTTTGATTAACAGCTATGAAATATCCAAAGGGCATTATTTGGCATCATTCAGGTGGCATTGGTCTTATGCCATGAATGCAACAAGGTTATGTATGAGACCAGAGCTCTTTCTCCTGGTAAACACCATGCCATATGTTTTTATCAGGCACTAATTTGGAGGAGAATTAATCTTAAGAAAGTTATTACGTTAGAGTGTCCTAGTTATGTCTAAGTATAGAGCTGGGGGCTTCTTCATTTATACAAATATTGCTAAACATTTAATTTCAGATTCTCAGTCTGGTGGATAATAAAAAATGACTACCCACCAAACTTGTAGCATTAAATGGAGACTTTATTTTTGGCAGCTCATTGGAGAGGGATTAATATTACTGGAATGGCTTTGTTTCTCAGCAATGCTTCCTTAAGAACAGCTTCCTCTGAACATATATTTCTATTTTATTGAGAAAAGGAAATATGGTATTAGAAATCAATGTTTTTAAAGGGTAATTTAAAGAAATCTAATCTTGGCAGATGCTGAAATATTTTCAATTTAGAACAAATAGTATTTCTGTCATCCAGTCAGCTTTTTAAAATTAGACCATTACTCCTTGATAAGTTAATTACAAAACAGAAAGAGACTCAACCAATCTAAAAAAGTGTTATTAATGAAAGTATAGAGCACATGTCTAAAAGCTGCTTTTACTGATTTATGGGTGAAATTTTACTTTTCATATGAAAAACCTTGTCTCGAATGTCTTAAATCATAGGGAAAAATGCTCAATTTTTCACCCTATCACAACTAATTTTTTACACTGGTACACTGATGGACTATTGTTTTTCTGTGCTACCATCCATTATAAAAACTGACAGCATCATAATTGAAATTATTTAAAATATGGTGGATTTAGATAATTCTTTACTTCGGTATAGATGTGACTACACAAGAAATGCTGCTACTGGAAATTGCTAGGATGAGTTACCAAAATGGAATTATTGCTCAGCAGGCCATACTCCTCTGGGGGTAGGAAATGAAAAATACCATTTTTCATTTCATTTCATTTCATTTCATTTTCAAATTCATTTGAAATGCGGAAAGATAGGAGGAATGGAAGGAACATTTTTTGTTGTGTCTGAGGCCTGGTCATCTTTAGTCAAATCTCTGTGCTCCAGGGCAGATGCCCAGTTTCACGCTGCACAGACACTTAGGCTCCATGCAGACATGAGAAGCATGGAGTAGGTTGCAACTATGAGTTGAAATGTCTCCGGGTCCACCAGCTGAATCCTGGTCTCACTAAAGTCCCTGGTAAGTCTTTCAGATCAGTGGAGTCACAATTTCACCCCAAGGATTTTGGGTAAAAACAAGTAAAACTCACCAAAAAAATTACTGTGGGTGATTAGCTTCATAATATCTGCCCATGGATGTCTCTGTGCTGCATGGCTGCATTTTGTGCTTCTTGCAGTAAGAACCTGCCAAGGTGCCCAGTGGAAATCCTTCCTGGTTAGTGCTGGGGTCTGAGCCAAAGCCGTGTCAGGTACCAGTCAAACAATTTAACAATATGACTAGTGGCAAGCTAAAACCCAAACTAAATGCCCTGCCTCTGAGTAGTTTACCAGTATAAAAACTGAGCCACAGAGGCAACTGGTTTGGCAATCTCTTCGGGAAACTGTCACTTAGTGGTGTGTGATGACTGGTAAACCCACTTCAGCTAAAATCTTATTTAGCCTCAAACAACAGGAATAAAATATAATGGAAGACGAAAAGGTTTTAAACCGTACTAAAAGTACCAACATACATCTCTCTTACAACAAATGTTGCTGTCCTAAAGTGGACAGGCAGATTTAGCCTTTCCAGATACTGTACAATTCCATAGAATTTCACAGAACTGGTCAACCGCAGAAAAAACCTGGCCAACTGCAGAAAAATGGCAGAGATAACAAATCTGGGTTATGGGAGATGTTGTTTCTGTGAAACTGTAGAGCATCTGAAAAGGCTAAATCTACTTGTCCACTTCAGGACAGAAACATTTTTGGGGTAAGAAAATATATATTACACTATAAATATATTGAACAGTACTGGCCCTAGAATTGAAACTGGAGGAGCACTACTGGTGATTGGTCGCCAGCCAGGTATAGCCCCATTAACTGCAACCCTTAAACTGTTGGACACCAGGTAAAAGAAATTTAAAGGAAAAATGTTTGCAGGAGATTTCTATACTTCAAATACAGAAAAAAAAAGCATGGGATAGAGCAACCCCCTCCAGCTTTCAGTATATACTGTCCGGTGGTAAATCTAAGAACCTAGAACTTTTGAAAAACAGGTAATTTTTTAATTACATGTGAATTCTCCTTTATACAAGGCCATATTACTCTTCACATCAATACTATCTCAGAGATAACAACTGCCTATAAACTGCAATATCGCTCACCTTCCTAAATGTGGAGGAAAATTTAGGCAGACACTAGGCTTTGGCTGTACGCCTCCACCCCCTCCTTTTCATGAACAGCAATACAGGTACCACTGAAAAGTTTGTAACTTTATACTGTTACATGAGAATAACCCAGGGACACAATTATCTCCATTATCAGAAAGTATACAAGCGCAGTGTCCAGCAGCATCTCCAGATGCTTAGCCACATCTCAGGGGACACTGTAATAGGAGAGCTAAGTTTGACCAGTCTGACCATTTCTTTAAAAGTTGTATAGCAGGTGATATCTTTTAGTATGTATAGCTGCAATTATGAAGGTAATTAAGTGGCACATTCCAGGGGAGCCCAAGGAGCACCTTAAATTAAATCCCTGAGCCTCACAATGTTATTGTAATTAGCTGTCTGTCTTAGTAGGGTTTTTTTGTTTATTGCATCTACCCTGTGTGCTAGGGATGAAAAAACATAATTTGACACAAAATATTTTAAATGGTTTATTACTGAGATGAAGGCTTATTTTCATTTTTCCCAGACCACATGTTCTTTCTTTCCTTTGCTTTTAATTACAAATATTCACAGCAGTGAGAATGTTTAAAACTTGAGAAGATATTTTATTGTTTATTGCTTGCAAAATAAAGTAATGATGTTTGCCCCTTCTATTTAGAGGGAAAACCTGTCTGGTGATGTTTGTTTTATCTTCACCTTACAAAGTAACATAGTTCAAATACTCTTAAGGACAGGCATGTTAGCTCGGCAGTTTTGATCTGGGATGGTTCCAGGTTAGACCATTTTCCAAACACCACTAATTACCACTGTGGAACAGTTTATATTTTGATATAAATGAACTCCCTTTCTTTAAGTGTGAACTTCTAATTTCTACAGTGGAAAAAAGGAAGTCAGAAGTTCTAAATGAAAAATAAATATAAGCTGCATTGAAAATTTGACTAATTATTTATTAGTTCACATTAACATGCATTAGGGAAGTTACTGGGAGCATTCTGAGCCCAGGTTCCAGTTCTGTCCCTTGCCTTGTGGCTTTTCAGCAGCAGTTTCTTGCTTCATAGTGGAGCAATGTGCAAGGTCAGGTGGGACTGCATTTGACTCTGTATTTATCATAGTTATTAATGTAGCAGCTCAAAAGGTCAAGTGACTTGCATGAAATTCTCAGTTTTTATTTGAGGAAAAATGTGTCTCTGGCCTTGTGCTTCTGGAGAAAAGATGAAAATGTAAATGTACAAAGACTTAAGAAGTGAAAGGATACTTAAAAGTCATTAAAAGACACAATAAACATGAAGAATCTTTTATCTGATGTTATGATCTGGGGGATGAATTCATGATTTTTGAATCAGGGATGGGAAAGATGAGGATGGACAATAGAAAAAGGGGTGGAGCAATCTTCCAAAATACAGATTATTTAAACAGCTGTTGTCACATGTTTAAAACTTGTGAAGATATTTTATTGTCTGTTGCTTGCAAAATAAAATTATGAAGAATCCAAGCAGTGTTGTAGACTATGACCTTTCTGGTTGTTATCTGACTTTAGTCTGTTGTAATTTTACTAACCAATAACTTGACACCTTGTGGTGGTTTGAAAAACCTTTTTTGAGGTAGTAATGGTTTGCCCCACTGATAATACTCTTACTGGACCAACCAATAGTCCACGTGCACCCTACGGAAATGACATGCCCACAGAAACAGAAGAGAAGGTAGTGAAGATAGTTTAGTAGGTAGGTAGCCATGATCTGAGCCACGAGGAGGCAGGGGGCCAGTGAGCTCCTCTGGGGGCCCCCAGACCCCAGCCGAGGCTATGGGAGACCTGGTGTAGTGTCAAAGCTGGACTGGGTCCCGTAATCAAGAGCTGGAAAAGTTTTCTTACTGTCAGCAGCAGCAGAAGACACTGAAAGCGGCAGCGGAGCAGTCCTGAACAGAGACAGCGATGGCTAAAAGCCAAAAGATAGCCAGTAGCAGCAAGATAAAGTGAAGGCAGCTGAAAGACGCAGAGATGTTCCTGCAGGAGGGAGAGCTGGCAACAAAACAGAGGTAAACTCAACAGAGCTGGTTTGGGGTAAGACTGTATTATTTTCCCAAAACCAGAGACTCTCTGAAGAGGAGGGGTGGACTTCCAAACCCTTAGGGAGTCCCGAAACACAGCAGCAGCTAGAGAGAGGGAGAAAGGAGCTGAAAACCTGGAGTTGTCCTGAGAGCTGAGTCAGGACAGAATGCAGAGGAGGTGGCCGTGCCCTCTGCTGCTGCTGTTGCTGTTTCTATCAAGCTGTTGAGCTGGGACAGAGCAAAAGAATGTTGGTAAGACTGAACTGAAAGCTGCCTTCAAAGTTCTAACCCCAGAGGAGTGAAGATCTACAAGGAAATCCCCCGAAGGCTCGGGCTCGGGGTTGAAATTTCCACAAAGTAAGAACAAAAATCCTGACTGCCACACTTAAATCTGCTGCCTCAGGAAAATGAAGGACACTAACCAGTGCCACAAAAAACTGAAATGAAGGAACTGTGGCCTGAGAAGTGACAGAAAGACTTTTCTCTTTTCTTCTTGGACTTTTATTGAAGAAGAGGAGAAATTTAATTTAATGTAAATATATATGTGGGTGTAAATAAACCTTTGTAAATATTTTCCCCTTCCCCCAATAATGAATGGTTGTGTTTTGTCTGAAAACTCTCCACATGAGGTGAAAAAGATGTCAAGTCCATACCATCATTAAACCCTGTCACAGGGGCAAACTGGGGGGAGGGGGGAGCTTGAACTTAAAAATTAGATTCTCGGGAGTTTCAACCCACCACACACCTGTTGTTCAAAGTAGATCCACAAAACCCATATCTGCCCACGTAGCACAGAATTTCTCTTCCACAAGGGCCTCAAGACCTGCTTCAGGGCTCTTCCATCTCTGACTATCCATCACACAGGCTAGGTGATGGAAGCATGGGGTAGAAATCATAGTATCTTAGACAGTGAAGTCGGGAAGGAATGGCTATGCTGCTTCCATCATTTGCCATTACCCAGTGGATCTGTTAGCTGTTGCTGGAGGAAGGTTTCAGTCCTCACGTTCAACTAGAATGAAGGTGAAACAGTGAGTAATCACAACTGCAGTTGCACACTCCACTTCTGGCTTGGAGTTGTTGTACTGGCCTTCAAAAGATGGGATGCAGAGTCTCTATTTTCTACTATGAGTTCTAAAAAATACTACATGATGATGGCCTGTAAGTGGTTAATTTATTTTCTCAAATTTCACTATTGGACTGATTTATAAAACTAATTTACAGTGTGTAATGCAGCTTTCATTCTTTTAATAGTTCTCTGTAAGAAGAAGGCGGAGTGGGTTGTTGGGTTTTTTTTAATTCCTTTTGTCATGGATTAACCCTAGCCAGCAACTCAGCCCCACACAGCCACTTACTGACTCCCCCACAGTGCAACGGGGGAGAGAATGAGAAGGGTAAAAGAGAGAAAACTCGTGGGTTGAGATAAAGACAGTTTAACAGGTGAAGCAAAAGGCACACATGTATGCAAAGCAAAACAAGGAATTCATTTCCCACCTCCCACAAGTAGGCAAGTGTTCAGCCATCTCCAGGCGAGCAGGGCTCCGTCACACTTAATGGTGACTTGGGAAGACAAACACCATCACTCCAAGAATCCCTCCTTCTCCTTCTTCCCCCAACTTTACATGCTGAGTATGTTGTCCTATAGTATGGAATATCCCTGTGGTCAGTTGGGGCCAGCTGTCCCAGCTGTGTCTCCTCCAAACTTCTTGTACACCTCAAGCCTCCTCATTGGTGGGGTGGGATGAGAAACAGAAAAGGCCTCAATGCTGTGTAAGCACTGCTCAGCAGAAACTAAAACATCCCTGTGTTATCAAAAGTGTTTCCAGCATAAATCCAAAACATAGGCCTGTGCCAGCTACTGCGAAGATAATTAACTCTGTCCTAGCCAGAACCAGCACATCTATGCTTTTTTTTTTTGTTAGATTCCTCATTAATTTGCAGTTCAAATTTGCAGTGTGTCCTTTTCTTGGAAAAACATTGCTCCTAACAAAGTGAATTTGTATATCATTCAGGGATCAGGATCTCCACAGAACTTCCTGGAACTAGAACAAGTATTTTCTTATTAGCATTTGACATTGTTGGTGGAGTACGAAGAGAGAATTTCTCTATTGAACTTGATGACTCCAAAATTCCATTTTGATTAGCTAGCCAGTAGTCAAATTTTAATGGGCCAAATTCTGAAGCACAGCTGCTTTGGAAGTGAAGTCTACCATTTCTTCATAAATCCTTTTCCTTTCATATCCCCTGATGTAAGGCAAAACCTCAATATCTGAGAAGTTTACAACAATTGTTTTCTAAAAATGATAAACTTAGAAAATTTTATTTTAGTGACCATACATCCTTAGTTTTCACTTTGAACCCATTCTTTGCTGTTCAGCTTCATTCGTTTGATTCATCTATCACTTGCAAACTGATAACACCCTGGCATCCAGTCACAGACAAGTCTTCATAATGTGAGATGATATATAAACACACTAGTAAAATGATGTTACATCCAAGACACAACTGTTGTTCAACACAATCCTAAAGATGACCAGAAAGCTGAGGAAGGAGGAGGATTGTTGATCAATACACTACAGTACCATAAAACACAACAGGCTGGATTTAGGTTGGCAGTAGGTCATCTTTTCGCACATATTGTAGTCTTAGGGTTGCAGCTGTACAATAAGAGATCCTTATTTGCTTCTTACATTTACTAATATTATTTTATTCTTGTATCACAGCTGGAGAGTATTAGAAAGTATTTGAGAGCTTACTGAACAAAGCTCCTTGTGTGGGCTTGCTCCAGAAGCAGCAAGTGAAGAACTGAAAGGTAGAAAAGAACTGCCTGAAAAAGTGGTGTGATAAAAGAAGACAATTAAAGGCAATACTGGAGCTTTTAAACCTCTCCCACCCAGCAAATGCTGTTTCCTATGCCTTCAGCTTCATCTGCTTCTCACAGTCTGTCTATACTACCTAATATGCCTGCCTTCCAAATTTCCCCCAGCTTTGGTCTTGCAGCTGCAAGACCCCATAGGGTGTGATTATCTTACTTCCTGTCTGTCGATTATGTTTAAACATATGCTAAACTGTAAAGGTCATTTTTCTAGCGTGACTCTGGAGTACAGTTAATGATAGTCTTGTTACTGACTGACCTCCTGGACCTGACAGAGATTAAACATCTTGGACAAATTTTCATTGCCTGAATCTGTGTCATATCCTTCTAATGTGTGAAGGACTGATCACTTTTAAACTAGTGGTGTGGCGCAAATAAGGTTCAGTCATTTGATGCCAAGATGCCTGACTGATTTTTGCAGTAAAGAAACAGGAATTCATAAACACCATGGGAATAGCAAAAGAAAATGTATCTGTGCAGTTCTTTGTCAATAGCCTTATCTGATTCCTCAGTGTGTCCTGCCTGGACAAGGTTGAGTGATGGCAGCAGCCAGCAATGCCACAGCCATGTTACCTCACATGATGAAAACACAGTTTCTGTGTCCATGCTTTATCATCAAAAACATAACCTTGCTTTCAAAATAAGAGGTATACTTTTTAAGTATTCATATTGTGGAAATTAAGGTAAAATAGACCACTTTGAAGTGTTGGTTTTAGCAACTTGTACTTACTCTACTTCCAGTGTATTTAGACTTACACATACCTGAAAAATCCTATTAAATCTACAATGGGGCTATTTTCAGGGTTTTTTTTAATGTTCCACTGGCTATTAACATTTCACAGCATGTTGCAATGCTGGCCTTTTTGATTTTATTGAGCCTTGCTGAATGGGAGTTTTTGTATCATTTAAGAGCAATTCTTTGCACTGCCTGTATTCTATATCTTGTCCTCAGAAAAAGGGATGATGACAGGTGATGTCTCAAAAGATAAGTAATCTTCTACTACATACTCTCTGTCTACAGTAAGTTCTCTAGATGTTGTAATGAGGTTCACCAGGAAAATTCATCATGGTATATTACCTACTTTATTTATCCATTCCACTTTATACACCTACTAAAAATAGCTGTTCTTAGATGAGTGAGTCTTTTCCTCTCACATGTGTCAGTCCGCAGGATCTAATTTTGTAACTAATTTTACAAAACTGAAGACTCATAACATGAATGGGCTGCATTCACCTACTACCAAAATGTGAAATTGTATCCTCCAGGAATATTTTGATGATTTAAAAAATCCCTACAATAGATGTCAATTAAAAGGAAAAAGAAAGAAGAAGGATTGCATGCACCATTTCATGCTTACTTACTCTTTTTCACTGTGTTTCCATTTTACTCCATTTATCCTCAGATAAGCTTCCTGTCACCAAATTAATATTGCCATTTTGTATGTCTTTTCTCTTCTTTGCTTTTGCACATTTGCTGTGGTTTAACCTGTCAGGCAGCTAAATACCATAGAGCCGCTCGCTCACTCTTCCCCACCCCAGTGGGATGGTGGAGAGAATTGAGTAAAAAAAAGTAAAATTCATGGGTTGAGATAAAGGCAGTTTCATAGGACTGAAAAGGAAAAAAGTAAAATTTAAAAAAAATATAGAATTAGTATATGCAGAACAAGTGATGCGCAATGAAATTCTTATCACCCACTGACAGATACCCAGCCAGTTCCTGAGCAGCAGCCTCCAGCCAGCTTTCCCCTTAGTTTAAATACTAGGCATGATGCCATATGGTATGGAATGTCCCTTTGGCCAGTTTGGGTCACTATTTTGGCCTGTGTTGCCTCTCAACTTCCTGTGCCCTCCAGCCT